ATGTCATTCTTGTAACCTGTCATTTGTAAATCCACTTTCAACTCAGTCTCTGTCTTGTCAGGTAAAACTTGCTTCTCTTCCATGACATTTTTTAGACACAGTCTATCCATAGAGACAGAAAGTGCTGTTGACATTGTTAATATTAATTTCTGACTCAATTTTTCAAAAGTGTCCTTCAATATTTCCAGTGTTAGAATATTTGTGCCATTCTATAACTGTTAGTCAAGTTTTTGGGTTCTTCTCCTTTAATTGAAATCTTTAGTTCCCTCTAGCGCCCAATTTGTAAAATCTTATATATATATATATACATATACATAAATTCAAAATCAAAAGCATTTTCCCATAGAAAGGATTCTTTTATAATTAATTCTAAAATCTTATTTCAAATTTATCTGGACCCTTAGTCTGTTTGTAGCTTTCTAAAATCATAGCTTTAATTCACCTTTTGCTGTTTATTTTTTAAAAAATTAATGCTCTTAAGCTTATAGTTTAAACTTTATTTCTTTAAGAAGGCAAAGTCACCTAATGCTTTCAAACTTGTCAATCCAAAGTTTTCTAATAACTGAAAAGTAGTTAACAAGCAATTTCTGAAAGAGATTAGAAAAGGAAGTATGTGAACATAGTGTCCCTTTCAAAGGCGCCGACCCCAGTTGGAGTAAGATGACTATTCCCTCATCTCCCAGTGCTCAAAACGCACTGGAGACGGCTGTCTTGAGGTCTCCTTGCAACTGTCTGGAGCACTTGTGGGCAATCTCTCATCCTGTCCTTTGTCCAGAAAGAGGTTTGAAGAGCCAGCCTACTTATTCTTTGTTGCGGTCATCAGCTCCACTTTTTGCGGAACCATCTTCAATACACCGTTCTTCCTCCAGAAGTCTTGATATTCTAGATACCTTAAGAGACTACCTGTAACAAATCACTGGCTCCTGACAGTGAACTCTTGAGAGTTCTCAATTCAGATGTGAAATTGCTTACCACCTAACAAAAGTATGTGACTTGTCACTCAAATCAGGTTCAGTGCAGAAAATTGGAAGGTAACTGATATGACACCATTTTTTAAAAAGGGACCCAGGGGTGATCTGGGAAACCACAGTCATTCATCTTGTTGTATAATTGGCCATGACCTCTGTGCACTGCAGTTGGAACTGAACCTCGCTCCCACAGAGACAGAGAATGCTTCACCCCAACCACCGAATTTTGGCACCTCCACCACAGCCCCTGACTCCTGCTGAAGGTGGGAGCGATCTGTACACCTTTGTGTCAGCAGCAACATCCCATGTGATGCGTGCTCTGCAGAGGCCCCGCAAGAGCCGACCTACTAAGCGGAAAGTGAATCTCCGGCGGTTCCTTCAGAACCAGATATGCAGGTACTGTTGGAATGGTTTCAGCCTCCCTACCTCTGGAGTAACCAGACCTGTTCTAAGCCACCATCCTAAAATGAATAGGGACCTTCTAGGTCTGCTGGTGGAAGAAGGCAGTTCCCCATGCAGTGTCTGGATATAACAGTACAGCATCTCCCAACCAATGCTTTCAGATTTGTTGGTCCCTTAACTCTGAGAATTCCCAGCTGACATAGACTTCTGGAAGTTGTAACCATCCATTTAGTCTCAGCATCTCTAGAGGGCTTCAGGTTGGGGAAGGATGCAGTAGTAGTCCTCTTTACACCAGGGATTTATTTTTTAATTGGATTTTGGAGGGGAGGGCCACAAGGACAGTTTTGGCTTTGCAGAGAATTCAGTTTTTTTTAATGCAGAATAAGCGAAATCTTATTTTAACACAAAGAAAATGGAGGATTAATAGTCCCGTATTTGTTCTTATATGATAGGAAATTGGCCAAGAATGGTAGCAATGAAGGTGGGGGGGGGTGTGTTGAATTTTAATGGCATAATTTTGGAGTTTGGGGGAGCAATAAAATGGGGCTCAAGAACATCACGAGGAATGCCACTTGATCACCCTTACTTTTACAAGTGCTTATTGAGGATGAACGTCCCATATATTACTTTGGTATTCTCTGCAATAGTCCTGTGAGATGGTAACATCCCCATTATTGTACTGAAATGTGACACTTTCTTAACTGTTCTTCAGGCTACAGCAGCGTTGTCCAAACTTGGCCACTTTAAGATGAGTGGACTTCAATTCCCA